GATGTCGGAAATAATAAGATATCATCTTAGTTTTTGTTTTTTTTAATGTGATTGAATATTGCTGTGTGGTATAAATTATAGGCTATAATAGCTATACTCGGTTCACGTTATAGAACACTTACCTATACTTGTATTGATTATTAGTATTTAGTAGAGGTTATGTGATACTATAGTGCTCAGTGGCGTGGCGAACTAAAAATTTTCCAGAGGCCAGTTACAAATATCCCAAGTATTTATGCATAATAATGTATTAATGTAATATAACAAGTTATATTATTTCAGATCGTTATTGACTACCTATTGAGAATATCATATTCAATTTACTAGGGGACCCACTGGCTACCACCCACCCCTCTATTTAGGAAAAATTTCAGAGGCCAAGGCCTCTGAAATTACCGTTCGCCACGCCACTGATAGTGCTGTAAGTTGAAAATTAAAAAATACAAAAGTAAGAAATACGACTATATTAAAAAATACACAAAGTAAAGTTAAAATAACAAAAATAGTAAAGAGAAAAGATCGAAAATTTGTAAAATTACGGAAAAAAAATTGCAAAAAAAGTAGGATTGCGGGCGGCCGTGTAAACCATATGACAATGACGCCCGGACAGCGTACGACGGGGGTTCGAACCCGGAACCTACTTATTTCCTACCTAACGCCTAACCTACTCGGACACAGTTTGAGATGTGCAAATCCTAACGCGTACGGTCGGTCGGTCGCCTGCCTCATTTCTAAACGCGATTGCGAAGCGAACCGACCGATTTCGTAAGAAAAGCGTATATATACGGCTTTAGAAAGACGTCAACTACACGATTCGGGCACGAACGGCGTGCGAAAAGACGAAACCGTCGGAGAAAACGAAAAAAATCGGCAAAAAAGTCCGACCAGGAGCGTATTTTGCGATCGACATTGCGACGGCTACGGACGGCGCATGGATATAAACCGCACACCGGCGGCTTCGAGAGATCGCGAGCTACGCGAATCATATATAAATATGAGCAAAAAAGGCTCGAAAACTGTCGAAATCGTGTAAAGAGAGTAAATTTTCGAAAATTTCAAAAATGATAAGAAAAGAAGTGATAACGCGGTTATTGCGCGCCGCCGAATGTGAACGATGCGATTGGCCGGGCCGGAAAAACGATACGAAAGTCGTCTATCCTAGTGGAGAAAAACGGATACTAACCAAGACATAGTGTTTGTACATTATACAGTATTTCCATATAAGTTAAATTAAAATGATATATACATTTTTAACTTTAAACAATTCACAGTAAATATTTGTTGACATGAAAACGAACTGGTCTGAAATAGTGAAATATAATTAAATTAAAAACAAAATAAATTAACTAAACTTACTTCTTAAGATAAAAAATGAATTCGTTCATTTCACGTTAGTTAAAAAATAAATTTATTAAGTTAACAGTTAAGTTACCTAATGAAAAGACAAAAGGAACTAGTTAAGTTAAAAAGTTAAAATAAATTAAACTTTCTTGACATTGACAGTTTAACGCCCAGCACATATTATGTTGTCTCCGTCTTACACACGTACTGCTTAGCAAAAACGAAAAGAACCAAGATGGCAACAGACATAACTAAGAAACGAAGTTTTCCTCACATATAAAGGAGAGCTTTGGCTGTGCAATATCGTTTTTATTTTTTTGATATCGCATATAAGAAAAACGTTTTTATTGTTTCAAAATCCATTATTATTTGTGCTTTTCAAATTCTAATAACTTTTTTGAAGTTCTGATAAGGAAAAAATTAAACGAAATTCCACAGACTAAGTTCTCCTTTTTATGTGGTGAAAATTTCGTTTCTCAGTTATGACTGTAACGTTCTCGGTTCTTTCCCTCACAAAACAGTTTTTGCTATGTTGTACATTTGTAAGACGGAGAGACTTATGCCGGTACAACGTCCTCTTAAGTAGGTTAGGTTAGCTAATTTTCTAACCTAATTTTCTTAATTACCTTATTACCTACTCATTAAACATCACGGTTTAAAAATGTCGGGGTTACGGCCTAATAGATACAATAGTACCATTTTAAATAATGAAATATTATTAAACACGTATCTATAGGTAGTATTGCTATAATACCTACGTCCTACATTTAACAAGATATAAAATTGTGAATATAATAGCGATGATATTATTGGTAGGATAAAAGTACCTAAATATGTATTTAATTACGACAAATTGAAGACTATGATATGCAAAGGCCAAAACATGAGTCTAAAGTCTAAACATTAAGTGTTTGCCACCCCCCCCCCCCTTCACCACCACGCGATCAATAAAACTACGATTATGAGTATAATACTGGTTGTCTGAAGCGGGATTGGTAAATTGAGTCCCAAATGACCCTAACTCGGTAAATTGAGTCCCGGGGAAAAACAGGTAGTAGGTAAGTTGAGTCCCGGGAAAAATAAGGTAGTAGGTTAGTTGAGTCCCGGGGAAAAACGATTTTAGATTCTGAGTGAAACGATGAATGTATTGATTTTACAATGATGTGTGTTTTTTTTAATTTTTTTTTAAATTTTTTTATTATATACCGACCGATTTCGTAAGAAAAGCGTATATATACGGCTTTAGAAAGACGTCAACTACACGATTCGGGCACGAACGGCGTGCGAAAAGACGAAACCGTCGGAGAAAACGAAAAAAATCGGCAAAAAAGTCCGACCAGGAGCGTATTTTGCGATCGACATTGCGACGGCTACGGACGGCGCATGGATATAAACCGCACACCGGCGGCTTCGAGAGATCGCGAGCTACGCGAATCATATATAAATATGAGCAAAAAAGGCTCGAAAACTGTCGAAATCGTGTAAAGAGAGTAAATTTTCGAAAATTTCAAAAATGATAAGAAAAGAAGTGATAACGCGGTTATTGCGCGCCGCCGAATGTGAACGTTGCGATTGGTCGGGCCGGAAAAACGACACGAAAGTCGTCTATTCTAGTGGAGAAAAACGGATACTAACCAAGACATAGCGTTTGTACATTATACAGTATTTCCATATAAGTTAAATTCAAATGATATACATTTTTGACTTTAAACAATTCACGGTAAATATTTGTTGACATGAAAACGAACTGGTCTGAAATAGTGAAATATAATTCAATTAAAAACAAAATAAATTAACTAAACTTACTTCTTAAGATAAAAATTAATTCGTTCATTTCACGTTAGTTAAAAAATAAATTTATTAAGTTAACAGTTAAGTTACCTAATGAAAAGACAAAAGGAACTAGTTAAGTTAAAAAGTTAATATGAAATAAACTTTTTAACTTGACATTGACATTTTAACTCGTTAATGCCCAGCACATATTATGTTGTCTCCGTCTTACACACGTACTGCATAGCAAAAACGAAAAGAACCAAGATGGCAACAGACACAACTAAGAAACGAAGTTTTCCCCACTTATAAAGGAGAGCTTTGGCTGTGCAATATCGTTTTTAATATTCTGATATCACATATAAGAAAAAAGTTTTTATTGTTTCAAAATCCATTATTATTTGTGCTTTTCAAATTCTAATAACTTTTTTGAAGTTCTGATAAGGAAAAAATTAAACGAAATTCCACAGACAAAGTTCTCCTTTTTATGTGGTGAAAATTTCGTTTCTCAGTTATGACTTATGACTGTAACGTTCTCGGTTCTTTCCCTCACAAAACAGTTTTTGCTATGTTGTACATTTGTAAGACGGAGAGACTTATGCCGGTAAAACGTCCTCTTAAGTAGGTTAGGTTAGCTAATTTTCTGCCTAATTACCTTATTACCTACTCATTAAACATCACGGTTAAAAATGTCGGGGTTACGGCCTAATAGATACAATAGTACCATTATAAATAATGAAATATTATTAAACACGTATCTTTAGGTAGTATTGCTATAATACCTACGTCCTACATTTAACAAGATATAAAATTGTGAATATAATAACCATGATATCATTTTCTAGAATAAAAGTACTTAAATATGTACTTAATTACGACAAATTAAAGACTATGATATGCAAAGGCCAAAACATGAGTCTAAAGTCTAAACCTTAAGTGTTGGCCACCTCCCCTCCCCCTTCTCCACCACGCGATCAATATAACCACGATTATGAGTATAATACTGGTTGTCTGTAGGTACATTTTGTTCAAATTAAAACCAATAATAAACAATAAGAAGACGAGTTTGTTTTTATTTTAAGTAGACTATGGACATGCCGGGCTTAATGATCAATATAAAAGTCTATGGACTGATTTATCAAGTGTTTAAAACCGTCGACAAATATTAGAATGTAGAATGTCTAAACTAGTATTACTTTTAATTTAATATTGGTACTTTAACGCGTTATTTACAGTTATATTATAGGATTATAGAAAATTAAAAGACGAGAGCTAAATATATTATAGGTACTTACCTACACTCTTTTTGGTCCAAAGTAGGATAAAAAAAGTTCATTTATAAACCTTCTTGAAGTTTTTATTTGTTACAAAAAGTTTACAATTTAATAACAATTATTATACCTATACTGTCTACTAGATAAATAATATTCTCTTACGAGATGACCTTACAACTTAAATTAAACACTGTATGGTAATAAACATCACATTTATGAATTAAATTATAGATATAATAAATAACAGCGACGTCTATTTATCGGTAATAATAAAATGTAAACGTAAATGTAACTTGCTGTATTACTTAATCATTGATTAAATAAATGTATAAGAAATATATCATAATATTATCACTTATTTATATTTAATAAATATCAATATATATAAATATATATAATGTATATCAAAATTATAATCATTGACCTAACCTTTCATATTTATATTCGTTTGAAAATGATATTATAAAAATGTGTTGTACCTACCTACTAAATACCTAACTATACTCTTATTCTCGACATTGCATTTAGTTTATTACGAAGTGTCCAGTTAATAATTTCAACAATTCGTAATGTGTTATGTTTCAAGAATTTAATTTAAAAAAATATTTATCCACTATGATTTATAAAAGCAACACGTTATTGTATGTATTAATCTTGATTTTTACACACATTTTGAACGTTTCTGAAAGCACAATTTCATTTCATCGTCATAATGATGGTAAGCACCGATTAAAATATTATAAAATATGTATTGCATTTTATGATTTATGAATTTATAACTCATAAAACATTATAATAAATATAAGTGTACTAATTGAAATACTTGATAACTTAGTGCAAAATAATTTAGGTATATAAAAGGAATACCTGTTGATGTTAAATAATATACCTAATAAATAAAAAGGATTATCTTAATGTTTGAATTCAAGCACCGATGTTAATTCCAAACAATAAAAGTTACCCATATATAATAATATAATATGTATATTAATTACTTTAAATTACAAATAAGAATATATGGAATATTTTTACATAAATGCACGAATAAGAGAAATATGATAAATATGATAAAATATAAAACAGTAGGTAGGTACTTATATATTTTCAAAATTCCGATGGAATTGATTTTCTTAAAAATATTAAACAAATTGTCATTTAATTTCATTTGATATAGGTACCTGAAATATGTGTATGTATATTGTATAAACATATTAGTATAAAGTATAAATACCATTTTATACAACATTACACATGGTATTATAATTGTTTATTTTTTTGTTATTTAAATTTGGATCACTCATTACCCTTTAAATTTGCAACAAAAATTGTACACATTTTATAAAAAAAAGTTGTTGTATATTAAATACACTTAAAATAAATATTCAAATTTTTAAGAATGTGCTAAGAATTAACTATACAAATGTAAAATAAATGATACAACATGACGCATTTTGTTTAAAATAAACCGATTTAGTACATAGTAATACTATATTACTATCTTATATTGATACTACGTATTTCTTAAATGTATTGACTAAAGTTATAACTAATACACTGAACTTTGAAAATGTGGCTGGAGGAATTTCAAATTTTGATACCACCAATCGTTAATAATTGTTTACTACGGGGGTGTTTTAAAATACCATTACCTTTGTAAATATCGAAGAACCTGTAGGTACTTTGGTGATTTACATATCTGATTTAAAAATTACCTGTTTTTGTTATTTTATTATTATGATAATATAAATTTTAATCCATAAAAGTATACAGTATTTTTTTTAATTATACCGTGGCGTTGCATACCTAATAGTAACAACAGTAATAATTACGATACGGAACACTGATATGCCGAAAATACGAGGTATACCATCAGCACTATTTAAGAAAGGAAAATTTCTCAAAGGGAAATTAATGTGCCCATGTGATAGTAAACGACACTATCATAAGACAGTAAAAGGGTAATGGGGAAACAAAACCATTGTTATTTCTTAATCGTATATGAACGAGGTATATTAAAGGTATAATTACTAGTAAATATAAACTAAGTTTATCATAGGTGCACGAAATGTTTGTTGTATTTAAATATATTAACTTATGCGAGTGAATATTTAGAGTTTCATATTGTTCAATTATTTTGTTTCTATTTTAGATGATTATGAAGATTTTGACATTACTACAATCTATAGAGTCACAGATATGTCGTCATTCAATAGCAGCAATGGTTTGTAAATTATTATTTTGCTTTTTACTAATTTACTATAAACAATAGCTGTTCAATAATGAACACCAATTTGAATGTATAAAATGTTTTATTATGTGTACCTACCAATGGGCGGATAGGCTGGATAGGCCTACCGGGAAATCATTAAAAGGGGGCCCCCTGACTCATATGAAAAAAAAAATAAGCTATTATTAGGTGAATATTATCAAAACAAAACAATGTATAACAAAACACATTTTTAAAATCATTTATTTTTTTTAAATAATAACATTCTACCAAATACTGGGCTTCTATAGCTCCTAATTTATTAATGATGTCTTCAGAATCAATTTTGATAAGAATATCTTTTAGATTATTTTCAAAACTTTTGTGAGTTATTACCCACCTTAACAGTCCCAACTCACAAACCTTCACCACTACCCGCCGACAAGCCGTAATCGACGTTGTAGTTGTATTGGTGGCAGAGTGGCGAATAGTAATATACCATACAAAATAGTAATAGATTTATAGATATAAGATTATAATAATATAATATTTCAAATTTCTATTGTAATTGTATAATATTATAATATTAATGAGTCATTGAGTCAACCAAAAAAAGGGCCCCATTGCTGAAATACGAAATGGGGGCCCACCGGGAAATGCCCGGTTTCCCGGTAGGCCTATCCACCCATGTACCTACCTATAAGTTCCTAACTATACGACCATTATAAACTAAACACATCTTAATTAATAACTTGACAAATATTAATTTATTTATATCAAATAGCAATTAAGATCATATATTTATATAATATTACGCCTAAGTTTTATTTGAACTATCAACTAAACTTCCTAGTTATGTTAAAAAAGCTTAAAAAGATTACTTTTAACTTAACTAAAAATTTTTTTATGTTATGGTTTCAGGTACTTTCAGTGGAATGAATTCAGTTATTGAAATACATTCAAGAACTAATGCTATTGGATTGCCAATACAAGACAATGATGATGATATTCATATTATTTCAATGAATATTAAAGAAATCATTAATCTTGAATTATTTCAGAATAACAGTCGAATGAGTACTTCGTATAATTCAAATGATTGGTGTCAACAAAATATAAACTTAGAAGGTGAGTAGAGCTATAAACTAGCCTATAAATTAGCCTACTTATTAGTTGAGCCCGGATTCTAATGACTTAAAATGGGTAATACAACAACATATTTAAAAGTGTTATAGTTTGAAAGCAATATCTTAGATTGGTCCTCCCCCTTTCCCGGAAAAATACATGTCCTAATAATATTTAAAATTGAATTGCAATTTTATCTTAACTAGTTAGGTGATATATTATATTATGATTGTTTTCAATAACTCATGTTTATTACCTATAGGACAAGGTGGTTGTTCCAGAAATAACTACAATGAATTTCGTTCGATGGATACAGGTAATTTGAATACAATATAATATGATATTAGTTATAACTCATAAGTCATTACGTTTTTTACATAATATATAAACTATTACCTAACTGGGTCAAATATATTAAATAGTTTACTATACAGACCCATAGTCGTCCCAAAGGGGGGGGGAGAAATGGGGAAAGTGCCCTAGGGCGTCTAAAATATTATGAATTTAGGAGGCGTAATAAAAATGAATGATAAAAAGAATAATTTTTTTTTTAATTTTAGGTATAATTTGTCTTTTTTATATTGTAATATCAAAGATGAGTACCCATCAAATAGTAAACTATTAAATATAAAATTATGTGAATGTAATGTGTTAAATCTTAATGCTACATAACTTCAATAATATATAATATATATTAATAATATATTCAATATTCATAAAAACAAATAAAAATATTTATACTTAGATATAACTTATAACTTATAATAAGACTACAATAGTAATTTATTTAGGCACATGCAATATATTTTAAATATGTATGCACAACACACCTCATTAAAATAATTAAGTAATATACTTATAAACTAAGTAAACTAATTCATATCTATGTGTCGTATATGCACTTTCCAGTGATATACCTCTATCGACACTTGAGCAACCAAGAGACCATAAATTAACCGGTTACAGTTTGGCTCTCTTAGACGTCGATATCGCTACCTTACTGTTTAGACTTTCAATCTTCAACGACCATAAATTAACCGGTTTCAGATCAGATTGAAAGAATACAATTAACGTAGGACTACCTTCACCGTTTATACTTTAAATCGTCAACGACCATAAATTAATCGGTTTCAGATCGGATTTAAAGCGTACGTAGAATTGCGTGGCTACTCAAACAAAACAAATAATTTTCGGGTCGGAAACACTTTTATTAAAAATGTAAAACAAATATAAATAATTCAATAATTATTTAAAAACACTTAGTCTATATCACGACTGTCGTACCTGCGTTCTCGCTGAAACACCAGCGAGAACGGGACTCCCCGTGCCTGCGCGTCCGGTGGTGTTATATAGCAAAATAATTATTGCTGCCTCAGCACATCTTGCTTCATTGGCCTGACCTATGTTAATAATTTATAATAAAAATGTTCCCACCTATATTACCTATATGTAATTATAGTGACGACTGTCTAAATATACTACATATGGTAGTATTAAATATTTTTTTCATTTGAAAAAAAATTTTTTTTCTGGTTTTGTAATCAACAAATTTATTAACATCGCAGTATGGATTACAGAAACCATTTTTAATTATAAATAAAGCGAGGTCCTTAACTGTTGTGTTTAATAATCTTCCTTTAATTTGCCTGGTACAATGTGGAGATTTCTTCTAGTAGAAATGTTGTATAGGTACAGGATAAAAAAAAAACCATTGTAAAACCCTTAGCTTCCTCGTTCCGCTCTAAATGAAAAATGTATGTATGTCTATCTGTCTGTCTGTGTGGGTGTCCATATTACTATGGAAACCAACCCCGAGAGGTTGTCTGTCTATAATTTTTGTTTATAAATGGTTGCATTGTGTTTTGAAGCTATTATAATACAAAATATTGGTTACCGGGCAAGGATGTGAAAATTACCTCTTTAAAGTACCATCTTGATCTAATTTTCTAAAATATAAGGTACTAGCTGATCCCCTGCACTTCGTTTCCCCGCATAAAATATGCCAACTCTATATTATGAATATTATGTCTTACACATCACCATAGCAACCATTTATTATATAAAAAACATTAAATCAGGAAATTTCAAAATAATATATAATTCGTTGCCATGGTAATATGGAGACACAGACACAGACGGAAATCTCAAAATAATATGTAATGGGTTGCCATGGTAATATGGAGACACACACACACACACAAACACACATACATTCATTTATATATATATAGACTATAATGTTGAAATCGAAGCACTCCTTCTAGTAGACATTTTGTATACAGGATAAAAAAAAAAAATAAACAACATTGTAAAACACTAACTTTGTCCTCGTAGCTAAGCTCTGAAACTAAAAAAAGAGAAAATTATTAAAATATTAAAACATTAAATTTATACCACTATGAGATTTTATTTTAAGAATATGTTCAAAATGTAAGGTCTAATTTTGTACTAGTATATTATGTATTAGTGCATTGCTATTTACTATAGGTAGGTAATAATTTAAAACAAACATGTATGGAGACTAATTATTTTTATAAACCACATAAATGCATTCAATTCACTGTGCTGTTACTTTAATAACGTCAATGTTTTTTAAATTTTAAATAAACTACAAAAATCCAACAATTACCTACATTATACTAATATACTGCATTAATCATTTTCAGGAAACCGATTGAATAGATGCTATAATTCTTATGAATATTGTACCATCGGGAAATGCTTGTCAGACAGTTACATGAGTTATGATTCACCTGTTACCTGTAATTTTTTCACGTTTTATTGGACACCCGATAAAGATGATCAAACGTGTTTAACAATGACATATTCTACCAAATATGAATCAGACAATCTTTATTTTATCACGATGGATATAAACGATGAATATAATAATATCTCGATATCTTCAACCGTATTGGATAAATATGTAATACTTTTTACTATAAATACTGACTGAATCAAAGATAATAATTATTTTTTATTTAGAAATTAGAATAATAATAAGTAATACTATTGACATTTATTTTTTATGCAGGACGGTATTACAACATTGAAAATTACTAACATTGATTTTAAGAACAATCAGGAATATAAATTATCATTAAAATTAACCGTGATGGACAGATATCAATCTCAATGGGTTGTTCAAAATTTTAAATTTGGACTCATACGAATTGCCCAATGTTCGAATTATGGTAAAATATACAAAAACAATTATACTTATCAATATTGAAAATAAATGGAAACTGATGTGAGATTTTAGCCACTTAGGTAGTGTACTTTTCTAATTTCTTTTATGTAACTATAACTTAAGTGAACCTTACACGGACAATTGCTGTCTCCGTCTTACAAATACGTAACATAACAAACATACGCTCAGCAGATCATGTTTAGCTTCGTTATTTTAAAAATTTGAGTGAATTGACCTATCATGACATTGTTGATTTACGCTATTTTATATACTCGAAACTTGCTAAAAAATTGAACTATCATAAAAAATCCATGTACCCGATAACGTTTCTAACCATCAAATTGTAGAATATGTCGATTCAATCTAATTTTTAACCTAATTAACCTTAATGTGTGTATTGACATTGAGTATTGACCTATTATAAAACTTGATGGTAAGAACATTATATATATGTTTGTATGTGACTTTTTTACGATAATTCAGTTTGTAAGTATGTTATGAGCATTTTTAATTTACTCTTTTTCATATACTCCACAGTTGCTAAAAGTGAAGTATCGTAAAAAACCCACATACAAACACTTATCGTGGTTTTACCATCAAGTTTCATATTAGTTCAATCATTCTCTAAAGGTTGTGTGGGATATGTTAGGCACTTGTAAGATGGGGGGGGGGGGGGGGGGGCAACAAATGCCTTTGTAGTGTTCTCTTATTCAAATATTCTGACTTCTGAGTGAAATTTATAGTCGGTTGTAAACTAATGTCTAATTTTGGTTTGATGTAATATAACATGAGGCACAGGTAATATACATATAAGTTTTAATAATTATAATAATATAAAATATTTAAATTATGATGTAGATTGTAGGTATTTAGATGGTATCCAACACAATAAAACTTTAAAAAATGGCAGGTTAAAATTTAAAAAAATATATACTATTAGTCTTTTAGACTTTTGGTAAGTAATAAAGCCAAAAATCTCGTATCAGCCGAATTATTTTGGTAAGACCATGACACATAAATTTATTCAAATGCTGTTTTCTTTTACAGTTATATATATAATTATTTAAATTTATGTCATACATTTATCATATTATACTATATATTTTTAGTATATTGATTAACCACGGAGATAATTAAGATGTTATGGAACTTTTAGGACATACAGTCACTGACTTAACTACTGTATACCGTAGGATTTATCGAATCCGTCGACACTTAATGAATATTCGATATTGACAATGACTAAAATTGAATAGGTTATGTAATAATATTATATATTTAATGTTTCCGCAGATGAAGAAGATGTTCGAATTATTTCTGTAGATCATGTTTCTGGAAAAAAACCAAAACCATTCAATATTCTAGGAAACCGTATGTATTTAAAAATCCACATACATTGATTAATAAACATCTTAAAATAATGATTGATAAAAATGAAAAAAAAGTATGTACTTAACGATATTATAATTATTTGTTAGTGCTCTACACTAAACTTATGGTTGTTAATTATTAGTTATTAATAACATATAATAATTTATCATCTTATAGACTCTGCTCCACGAGACTATCATTAGTACCTATACTATCAGTAGCCACCAAGCTAAGTTAATTTATCGCACTTCATAAAATACAAGCAATTTCTATACTAACGAATATAAGAAATTACTTAACCCCTTTTTGACATCCCAACTTTTCTAACTTGAGTTTTTTTTTAGCGAGGTTGTTTACACATAGTGTTTTTGTTGAGACATCAATCATTTCTTTTATTAAAATATTGGATATAAGTATCCCATTTTTATTTTTTTAAATTGATTGAAAAGACGAGGTAATTCATAAATATCAACAACATGTATAGTGTATACATATAAACAGCTTTTTTAATTAATACATAAAGTGGACTGTTCACCATGTGGGTGTTTGCCAATTGGACACAGTTATAAACAAATAGTATAATAAATATACAGCTATGAATATTCATTAATATTGTAATAATAATATAAGAAATAGCCAGGGCCGGATTTAGGAATGTGGGGGGTTTGGGCCACCCTCAAAAGTAGATATCTTTTTTCGATTACATATATTTAATAACCAAAATTCCAAATAATATGTACAGTCAATTGTCATAATATTTAATATACTTACAGAACATAAATAGTTATTGTTATTTGTTATCATATAATAACTTTACGAGATTTCGTCGCATTAAATTGTTCACCGAATTGTGATTAATCCATTGATCTTAGTAAGTCAATGTCGATGCTTTACAGTGAAAGACCGGACTGTCGACTTTGTGTCTTCAAAGTTCGTTGTCGGGTTTTTATTAACTTCATTTTTGAAAATGATCGGTCCCCACCAGGGTTGGAGACCATTATAACTAAATATTTAAGCAGCACTACTTCTACATCAAGAAATGTACACTGTAAACTTGCTATACAATATAAAACTGTTTTTTATTAAAATTTCTACAAGTCTACAAGATAATAACATAATGACATAATAATCGATTTTAAATTTATATTTGTAAGCTCTCTCATTTTTATGCATTTATAATAATATATAAATTTATTATTAGTTATTAAATATTAATAATACAATTTATTTATAAATGTATGACAATATCAATGATTGAACATTTTTATTTAGGTTGGGATTTAAATCTATTTTGAAGATGTTATATTGTGCTCTATACTGCGATGCAAAAAACCACATTTAGTGGAGTCCCGCGGCCTGGGGCTCCCTGCCCCCCTAAATCCAGCCCTGGAACTAGCACTGAATTTGAATTCTATTATTATTATTGTTATTATAATTATATAGTATTCATAATCAATGGTACTAGGTATAATAATACGGTGATAAAATAAATAAAAAAAAAAGTGTAAAAATTTAATACAAGGCTCCTGATATATTGTTACAGTATCAGTTGAAAAATATTAAAAACACAAAGACACAATTTTTTTTATAAGCATTTAAAGATCAAATTTTGACACAATTTATCAAATTTGAATAATAAAATTGAATAATTATTTTGTAGTTAAAAATTTATAAAATGTTCAAATTTTATATCAAAGGATTGAAAACTTAAAAAACATTATTCCACGTAAGTAATTAGATAATTCTGTTACCAAAAAATCTAAAAGATGGTGCTCTGCTGTACAGTAGGTTACAAGTGGGTCACTGTATAATGGATAATATTAAATTTGAATTCAATGATATAACATCATTGTATAAGAAAAACTACGATTCTGAGCGGAGACGGTATGTCAGTCTAGGTATAAGACATATTATTTACTTATCTATCATATTAAAAAAAATTTACCTAAAATAGGTACCTACCTGTAATAAATTCCAAATTAATCATATCATAATATCCATTAGATACTTGTAATGCGTTATACGTCAACAACGAACCCTGATACTATCATAGTCCATACTCCATAGATATATAATAGAGTACTTTAGAAGTTTCAAGTACCCACGAATAATATTACACAATCACAACAAAATAACTAAAATAGTTACCTATTCTAGGTTTTTGGAATATGTAATTTCATCCGAATTTAAACTTAAAATTACTATAAAAATAAACTGTGCTTATGTATTTTTTAGATTTTTTGGTAACAGAATTAACAACTTAAGTGGAATCTTATTTTAAATTTTCAATCCTTAGATATTGAATTTGAACATTTTATAAATTTTCAACTACAAAATAATTATTCAATTTTAAATTTGATAAATTTTGTCAAAATTCGATCTTTAAATAAATTAAATCTTTAAATTTTGTCATCATTTGATTTTTAAATGCTTATAAAAAATAATTGAGAATATGTATTTTTAATATTTTTCAACTGATATTGTAACAATATGTTAGGAGCCTTGTATTAATTTTTTACACTTTTTTCCGAACAGATAAAAATTAATTGATATTAATTGAAAAAAAGAAACTAAAAAAATTGAAAAATGAAAATGTCCGTAAACATCTCAAAAAGAGACAAAATATTTTCAAAATTTTATGGTGTATAAAAAATGCTAATTTAAACATTCAGTGAAATTTTCATGTATCTACAGTTATTCGTTTTTGAATTACAACAAAATAAAGAAATCGCTACATGATAAATCGAGTGAATATCCAATGTTGTAAAAATTTGAATTTCAAATGCTCATAAAAATTTAATTTGACTTTCTTATAGACATCTTTTTTTTGATAAAGGTAGATAATCTTATGAGGAATCTTGAATTACATTTTAAAACCTTCGATTTAAAAAGAAAAATTTTTACGAATTTTTAACTCAAAATAATTTGTTAATTTTCGTGATTTTTCCATATTTTGTCAATTTTTGAATTTTAAATGCTTATAAAAAAAAACTGAGACTAAGGATTTTTAATATTTTTCAAATGCCATTGTGACAATATAGTAGGAGCCTTGTTTTAAATTTTCAAGCTTTTTTAACCAACAAATAAAATTTTATTGATATTTTTAAAAAAAAAACTAAAAAAAAATGGAAAATGAAAATGTGCCTAAACAGTTCAAAATAAATCAAAACATTTTGAAAATATTATCGTGTATAGAAAATGCTAATATAAACATTCAAAAATTGCATGTACCTACGGTCATTTATTTAAGAGTTGCACCAAAAACCAAAATTGATTTTTTCGAAAACAGTTTTTAGTGTAAAAATTCCTTATTTTTATTTTGCTTTTCACGCCGCTTTTGAGTTTTAGTTTTATTGAGAAATTTTCACTTTTGACCCCCCAAAGTACCAACTAGATTCACTTTCCTATCAGAAAAGCTACTGTTGAAGAAAATCCAAGCACTTTTACTGTCCTAAAACGTGATGACAGACACAAAAAAAAAAAATAAAAAAAAAACACACATCATTGTAAAATCAATACATTCATCGTTTCACTAAGAATATAAAATAAAACGACCCACGGATATCGAATCGGTATTTTAGCGGAGATAAAATAAATGCATTGATGTACCTATGCAACGAGTCTTTCGGCGTTACCCCACTACCAAGTATTGTTTAATTAGCGATTTCAACTGACGTGTGACGGAAATATGCATAAGTATATTATGCCAAAATCTTAGTCTTGTTGAAAGGGGAAATATGGGCGGCCCCTACATACAACATGCTATATTATACGAGTACATTGTTGAATTATTGAAATAAACAGCTTAAAATAGATTAATAACTATGCTAATACTTTTGCATATTACTCAGGCTGTAATCCTCAGATCGACTTGAAATTTATAAAAGTATCATCTTCATAGAATACTGATCAACACGTTGTAAATTTGAAGTTAATCAGTTCATTAGTGTAGGCTGCAGAGACTTGAGAGTTGGGACCATTTTTCGTAAAATTCAAAGATTAAATACGAGATGGTATCTAATATACTGCCGTCATGTCACGAGCTCTTTTATTTTACTTAGCTCTGCTATACTTAAGCTTTGGATTAGTTATTAAAAATAATAATAAACCATGTACCTACTTAATACATTCCACTCAACTAGAAAACGTATCTGAGTGGCGAACAAGAATAGTTCATTTTTGTGCATTCTCGCCACAAAACAAGCTAGTAGATTTCGTTGGAGCCTTTTAGATGCGTACACCACATTCACAATGCCCGTTAACCACATGGTAGGGACTAGGAAATAGGAAATATCGAATTGTACCCAGTACACAGTTAAATACGTTCTCATGTAGCGCGGATTTTTTTTTATATACCTAATATATCCTTATATATAATCCCTATGTAGATTGGAGTTATATACTTGGTTGCACATTTCATAATTATTTTACATCAGTAAATTTGATTCAAGCAGTATTATACAATATTTTACTTTGTTGATTTTTGTATTTAATAGACTCTAATGCATATAAATGAGTTTAACTGTTTTTTTTGCATATTTAAGAGGGGGATTTTGGATTCATCAAAATTTGATACCTATAACAATTATATAAAACTAATAGCTGTACAAAATATAATCATATAAAAAGTTTTTTTTAACATAAATAAATAAATTAATTAATTTGTATCAGTTTAATAACTACATCATTTTAAAAATGCTATAAATTATGATAGCATTATTAAGTGTATGAGTATTTCATAATATTTAGCGTATTCAATTCACAGTCTTAGATATAATTTATAAATATTCCATCTATATAATAATGACGTAAAATAATAATTTTAATTTATTATTGTTTAAACAGGTATAGTTGAACCTTCTACTTATGAATGTTCATGTTTAAATGGTGGATATATTACTCATAAATATTCGTCAAAATGCATTTGTCCTCCTGGTTTTAAAGGGCAATTTTGCGAGACAGGTAATGAAAAATTAATTCTTTATTATTTATTGTTATAGTCAATATACAAATAATATCAATATAATAAATAATTAAATAAAGAGTTAGCGCTAGATTTTCACTCTATTTCCCCTCACACATTCCTGCATTTCCCCCTAACATTAAGCGGCCCGGTTCCAGTCACCCACCTGTTCGTTACCAATCCGTTCTTCTTAGTCCGTTGTTATTTTATAGTGATTTTTGGCACCCCCATGCGCAATAACGCGTTGTTCCCTGAAATGAAGTGGGCGATGACGATTATTTTGGACACAGCTCGATATATGAGAAAAACAAACTTAATTTCATCTATTATAATATATGATCTAAGCTTCTTATATAAGCTATCCAATAGGTACTATGTATATTAAAATAAGTAAAATTTAAAGTGTAAATATTATATAATATAAAATATATAAGATTTTAATATCAAATAAGTAATTATATTAAAAAAACGTATACAAAATAATAATCATCTTTCATCAAATTCAAGTATGGGGACTAAAAAAAATAAATTAGATATTCAAACAGAGGGACAAAATTATATCTTAGTCCTCTCTATAAAATATTAATTCAGCTCTCCTTTCTACCACCACCCCGAAATATTAATTAATATTATTAAAATAATTGTATGTATATAAAAATAAATAGGAATATTAAAAAATTTAAAATTATATTATGCTCTAAATAAGTAGGCAAGTAAAAAAAATATAAACCATTTTATACTTAATTTTGTTGTATAAAAACTGAAAATTATAAATATATTGTTAGACCCTAGTCTGAAAGTCTAAAAGTCTGAAGACGACTTAATAGCAATTTAGTAATTAAACAATTTTAGGTTGTGGGGTAAACTCCTATGGGTCCGACTGTAAAGGAGTATGCTCTATACAGTCTGATAAAATGTGTCGTGGAATGTTCATGTGTACAAGTTATGGATGCACATGCCCAGCGGGATTAACCGGTCCATCGTGTAACGAAGGTAAGTAAAAAATATGCAGGCTTGAAGAATATGGTTAAATAAAAAAAAAATGTTGTCATGAACATTTGTTATTTTATGATTTAGATTGTACAATGGGTACATATGGAGCTGATTGTAGACAAACTTGTTCCGAGAATTGTCTTAATAATATGTGTGATCAATATACAGGTGTCTGCTTATATGGTTGTTCAGTCGGATATATACTACCATATTGCAGAGAAAGTAAGATAATTTTGTTAAAACATTAAAAATTAAGTTAAATTAATGAAATAAGTAGACTGATATAAATATTTAATGTTAAACAAACATATTATTTTTGAATGACAGAATATGTTTTATTTAATCAAATAAATCCATAATATTCTTCACGAAAGGTTATAGGTACCTACCTAGCTTTAGAGTTTTATACAGGTTTAGTGACTGTTATTTGGTAATAATTATAATATTTGCATATTTGAATTTTTCTTTATTTTTTTAATTTTGATTAAATGAATAATATTATTTCTATAGGTTATATCTTATACGAATATTATTGAATGCATTAACAAGATATTAAAAATTGAGTAAAACATTAGTTCATAGGCATTGTACTCAGAAGACATCATTAGGTATCTTAAACTGCAACAGAACCGCAATAAAGAATAAATATGTTCACTATTATTGTAAGTGCGTACCTACTTAATGAACTACATTTGATTAAAAGGAGACAAAAACGACTTTTGAATGATTTAAACCTCAAAAGTCTCAAATTTAAACTGATAACATATGTGTCGATGTGTGAACAAAATTGGTTATCTAAATGTATTATTAATTATTTGTTTAAAGAAAAATCTAATATGAGCTTACACTTTTTCAATACTTCATAATTAAATTCATGCTTCATCTAGATTGTTGATAATTAAAATATTACGTATCGTAAACATATATTATTTTTTTCTAATGCATTCTTTAATTGTTTGTGGATTTTGCCAGAAATGTTTCTATTGTTTTGGCTAAGCTTAAATTTAGTGTTTTCAACGATTTACAGTCACCAACACCAACAAAACTGACCATAAATGACCTATGATGTAACTAAACATAATATATAATGAAAAAATGTCTTGGATTTTATTAAAATTACTTAGCTAATTTACCCGAAAACATACTATTTAGATCACATTTATAAATATATTCCATACAAACATAAAAATAAAACAAAGATTTCGATCATAATATAATATATAGATTTGAATATTGTAAATAATTTTAATAGAGTAGGTAACGGTTTGGACATGGTTCTAGGGTACGTGCTAGATAGTGAGGACTCATGGGCGAACGGGGCACATTACTACTGTAAAATTGCACAGTGGATCGGTGTCATATTATGTCCCAAGAGCTGATACAAAATAATCCACCTAGTATAATATTATTATTATTATTCACGGTTTTTTTTAGTACATCTTCTATTTACTATTTTCATCACCTTGGTAGTGGATTAAATTCGTCCACTACACTAAACTAAACATTAAAAAGGTACTTATGACTCATAAGCTACTCATCTAAACTTTGATTTTAATATTTATACGGTGATTATATTATATACAATTACGATAATATAATATATGTTGTTCTTACTCTAACTATATTGTAATGTGTTTGATTTTATAGAATATCCATACTGCATTAACCCACCTACACTGCGTTTTGCCAATTACGATGAGATTGAACTGGAATTGGATTTTCAAGAAAATAATATAAAAGGAGGAGACAGAATTATAAAGCCAAAATATTATCAATTATTTTATAAGGTTATTGCAATTAATACAAAAAAAAGTTTGATATTTACTTCTACATAATTGATGACAACGCATACGTCATGTAATAATATATCTTTCCAAGTATCAAATTTACTATGTACCTAATTGACTTGAAAAGTTGCAAAAAGTAATATATCCACACTACACTGTTATTTTAAGTACCTATAAATTAAATAGGATATATAACATTCAAAAAGTTACGATTGTAACAGTAGAAAGGGTTACCAATTATCAATATCACTACCCTATAAATATATATTTTATGAGTTTTTGAACTTATGTGTAGTAATGTAGTTATTATAGGAACATACGTCATACATACGTACTAATCCTTACGTTTTTATAGTCATTAATAGAAAATACGTTTAGAAGCTCTGAAATTAAATCAATAAGCAACACCAATAACGTTACATTAGAAGTTATCAGAGACTTAGAACCGGATACTATATATACGGTTGGAGTTTTGTTAATTGCAGATGATGGGGATTTTAATGAACAAAATATAGTATATGGTCAATATAAAACCCCGTGCATGCGTAAGTACCTACTAAACATTATCTAATAACCAATTAACAATCGTCCAATTTAATTTAACAAACTAAAAAATTATACATTGTGATAATAGAGATAAAATTATATACCTAACATCATTTGAGATTTAATTAACATTTTAGTTTTCAATAATACATGTATATATGTTTAATAACTGTAGGTTGTAATATTATAGGGTTCTGAATTTAAAATATTTCACTTGCAATTTTACAGTTGAATTATTTCAATGAAATTGTGAATTTTTTTTTTGTTTTAAAAGTATTCGTTTATAGAATATAGGAAATAATTAGTGATTACACACAGAAAAGATCGCAAAACAGATAACATTATTTACTACAATTATTTACCTATATTCATATATTATTTTCATATTATTAACGCATTTACCATTTTTAAATATAAGAATGCTAAAAAAGGTTCCTAATGCCGCCAAGTCTTAGCATTAACGAGTTAATAAGTTAGAAGTTAAGTTAAAAGTGAAGTTAATTTTAATACTAGTTAACTTAACTTACTAGTTCAGTGTTTTGATTAACTTAACTTTAACTATACTCATTTACCTCTACATTAACTTAAAATCAACTCATATTTTTCTTTATTTTCACAATTGAGTTAGTTTTGAATATTCCTATTACCCAGAAAAAAATATTTTGTTAATTATAAGTTTGCAGAATATAGAAATTAATATTATCAGAAAAAAATTAAGATATTTAAAGATAAATACTTTGAAGAATATCATGGACCTACTCACGTAACAGATAATTGAGGGATATATCACCCGATGTTTTTTTTAATGTGAAAGAATCAAACAAATAAATTATTTTTTGTATCAAGGACTTGAACCAAAAATCAGTTTATGCAAGTCTTTGCTGAGGATTGTTCATTTTCATGCCTAGATATTACTAAAAACTGCTAAAGAAGTTTCACTTCATTCAATTTGTTTGGGGGCACTACCCTGTAATTTATCTTATAAATTATAAATATATGTTGCCCCGCCGCCCAATAAATATTTCTGACTACTCCACTGAAATATATCTAATACAATTTTTTAGAACCACAAATTACTGATTATAACATACAATTAATGAGTGGAATACAAAGCGTCAATATAACATGGAGCATAGTAAGTGTTAAAACAAAAAAAATTAGTTTATTTTGAATCTGTAAGAATTATTGTTTTTAATTATCTTTAACCATATATTTCATTAATTTTCTTGTTAAAAATAAACATACAATATAGCTTAAGAATTAAAAATTTTAATACTTATATATCCAATAAAATTCATTATTCGTAATTGTTCGATAATCAGATTATTACTTTTATATAATTTACAGAGCATCTCAAATCGATTAGAATGCAACATTACGAAATATGTTTTGACGTTAATGTCAAATCAATCACAAAATCAAATATCTGATGTACAAGAAATAATATCAAGTACAGATAGTGGTCACGTTTTGGATAATCTTCTTCCGGGTTTTAAATATAACATAAAATTAACTCCTTCGACAAGTAATGGGACATTATCATCGTCGCCTATTTATTCAATCACTACTCTTATGACAAGTAAATATTTATTTATTTAAAATATTATTGATTTAATTTAATATTACTCTTGAACGGTCTATATTATGTTACCATTTATACGTCATATTATAGTGTGTATCATAGCCACTGCGACTCGACGATAACGCGCCTCGTGGTGTTTTTTCATTATGGTTTCTAAGACTACCGCGTAATAATGCTCGGAAAATTTGAAACTTATAACGAATATTTTACAATTTTTCATATTATGCATTTATTAAACAAGATAAGCAATAAACCATACTTCATACTTCAAACATACCTATAACCAGCTGATCTTACGATTTGTTATAAATGGCGCGCTTTACATTTGTTCTATCCTATTTTGAAAACCCCGGGTTTGAGACAAAACCGCTACGAAGCGCGTTAGCATCAAGTCTCAGTTGCTATGAAACGCACTATAGTGCTCTACATTACAACACCTGCATTACGACACCCACGTCATTTTATCATGATACCAGCGACAATATCAGGCTTTCTTGGTTCGTGTATCGATTGAACAAATGTAACAATTTGTTGATATGTAGTGAACTGTTCTTAATTAAATGTATCTATAAGAATCTTGGTAACAATATAATATTATACTGTACATAGTATGATATAGCAAGTTTTAGTCACAGCAGATCATGAATATACAAATTATGTTGATCGTCCAGTTGACATTGCAATAGTACCACAAGTAATCATAAGTGATATAAAATAGAGGTGGGTGGGTCGAACTGTTCGGTGTTCGAAAAATTGAACTAAGCTTTATAACTTCTAAATAGTTCGAACTCAAAAAAAATTCCATCACATCAAATGGTTCACACCAAAAATATTGCCGGTGTTTATTGTTAAATATTAAATAAATAATTTGTATTTTGTTTATTGTCAATAACATAGAGTACCTAATCATATTCTATACCAGTTTATTATTTTTATCTTTAAAGTGGAGTTTTCTGTGTTGAATATGCATTCCAATTATTGCATTATAGTTATTTTTAATTTTACAACACAAAAGTAAAAAGTTATCCATACAAAATACCATCAAAATATGCACCATAACATTAATTAATAGAACTTTGGACTTTAGGTCACACTGACGACATTATACCTAATATTGCATCTTGAACTCTCATACAAATAATGAACTAATAAACATTTTAAAAAGAGATTTACTGCTAATTCTAAATGCCTATAAGCCAGAAACAAACACTTAATGTCCTACAAGTATTTGATAAATTATAATATCATCCATAAAATTAAAATAATTGTACCATCATTCTTAATATTATAGAAAACGACGTTCAAATAAAAAATATTTCTACTAAAGTTGAAAATGGAAAAATCAAAGTAAACTGGATATTGGTAAATTCTCATCAACATTACACGACAGTCAACGAACCAGTAACATTAATCATCAAATATAAAGTAATTTTATTCAGCAAAACTCTTATAACAATTTGATCAGTAATTATATTGTCTGCATAATAATAAATATAAGTACCTAAAACTATACATTCATATGAACATACTAGTCAGATCCATTATAAGTAATTTAAATACAATATATTGCTTGCCTATATACCTATTTAAATAATATTACATTATATTGGAATGATTCTAGTTTATCAACCAAGTCAGAAAAACTATCGTGAAAAACTTCATAAAATATGGCTTTTTCAAAATATTTATTTTTAATAATAATACTTAGAATAAAAATGTTTATAATTTTTTATTTTCAAAATGTATTTTTTAATTGGCATTCTTAAATCATTGATAATTCAAAATTAACCTGTCATACTTACCTTAATTTTTTTACTTAGAACTTCAAAAATAGCATTTTCAAAATTGGTCTAAAATGTGTTTGAAAATAGCTGAAAATAGATCAGAGTAGTCTATCTGATAGAGTTTCAGAGAAGCAGACATTAAAAGTTAAAACACTTTGAAAATACCGATCCTATATAGGTTACGAGTGGCAACCTATCAGTGGCTGTTAAGTAACAAGATTAGTCGCTCCCTAACTCTACCAAATCTGGTCAACAAACTTGAAGTCCTACAGACTTATCGTACAGTGGCCAGTAAGTTAACGTAACATTATAAAAAATTTTAACTAACAGACTAGTCATTGAAAACTTTACATAATTTAGAAAAAAAAAATTGATTATTAAATATCGATTTTCTTCAGCTATTTAAAACACATTTAGGATTAATTTTTATTTCAGTGCTAAACCTTACAAATTGAGTTTTAATTTTACCAGACAATTAAGCATTACAAATCAAACATTTTGAAACAAAAAAGTTTAATTCTGTTTATTCTTTTTAAAAAATTCAGGTTTTTGAAAAACCATATATTTAGAATATTTTTAATGATACCTTCCAAACGAAGTACGTCTGACTTATTTTTTTTTAAATTATTATAATTTAAAACGCTAAAATAATAAAATCCACTAGGTTAATTACAATTATTCCTATGTAAATTTTAAATTTAGGTGAAACGAATTCTCAGCTGTTCCATAAGAGAAGTAGAAAAAAATTGGACGTCAATAACAATTTTTAATCGAACCAACTATGAAATCTACGATCCAGTGCCGAATTCTCAATATAGTATACAAGTTTTGATTGACGTTAAAGAAAAAAATACTGCTCAACAAGAATATATGACTAATGTCTTAATACCAGCATCAAGTAAAAATATATCAAATCGTATTTAAATATATTATTCTTATTTATAATAATATTTTCATATTAGGTCCAATAACTGAACCAATCTTAGATCCTGATCATCCAATGTGCATAACTAATAACTCTATTTTTGTTCAGTGGAAATTTGATCCCGAAAATTGCTCAAAACTAAATGGATTTCTATCTCAATTCTATATAGAATTAAAGGTAACTGCTGTGAATAATTAATATAATTTTTTGTAATACCATATCATCAAATATCCATTTGTAGGATAGGGTTAATGACATTTTACAAATAAGAGAAACTAAAAATAATTACATTAACTTTAACGATCTAAAATCCAACACAGATTATGAACTAAAAGTATTTATAAAAACACACTTTGGTTATAATCCAGAACATTTTCTACTCGCCAATTTCAAGACTAAATTAGAAAGTGAGTAGACTCTAATTATATAACTGTTTGAATGTATTAATATGATGTTAACAAACATTACGTATGTTTTTATTTTACACATTTTTAGATTTAAAACCAGTAGAAGATTTAGTGGTTTATAAAAAGAGTCTAAAAAATCGTATGGTAGGATTTCGCTGGAGCTATTCACAAGATTCAAATGTAGACGGATTTATAGTTTCGTTTAATGATAATTCTTTAATAAACACAAAAAACCTTTCCATCATACCACCGCAGAAATGCTCGGCTTGGCCAGAATACTATTGTCATACATTTTATAATTTGAGTCCTAGCAACAACTACACATTTAAAGTAAGTATTGCCGTGAATAGAGAACCTTTACCTCTTTCCACGTACCTATCATGGTATACAGACAGACAGTAGGTATTCAGTCAACTTAACTTTGAGAACGCTGTTTGTTTTTTCTCCCTGGCTCAACGGCAACATAGACAAACAATACGTATTCGTATAAAATCATTTTATTTTTATATATTTGAATTAGTGTAGAGAAAAACATTTAATAAAAAAATTATATAGAATAATAACTTTTAGACTATGATATAATATATATATATGGCTAAAATATATTGTCTCAAAACAACATAATATCCATTTAAATGTAAGTAGAACATTTTTTGAATAGTCGATTTTACTTTAAGATTACATACTCAACAATCACAAAAAACTGTTTTACGCGAGTGTATTTCATCTATGTTTGCAAGGGTCTGAGAGAGAATACAAATTATATCCTCTTAACGAAATTTATTATATTTATACGAGATGTACTTGCTTTTATATTAGATTAAGCCAATGTCTAAAGATTTTCCAGAAGGTGGTAAAGTTTCGTCTATTTCTTTTAACAGCATCGATGGACGTAAGTATCTACCTACGATGTGCCCTTATACGGATAATATTTGTAATACCTAGACTTAAAATTAAATTAAATTAATAAACAGATATTTATATATAACAATATTATGTAGCTTCTTTATAATAGTAGAGTACTATAGAATATCTATAGCAAAGGTGGCCATTAACTTGTTAAAAAGTTAAAGTTAAGTTAAAAAGTTAATTTTAAAAATTAACTAGGTACTTATTTTTTTTTTTTGTTTTAAGCTTATTAACTTATTCAGTTAAAATTTTTATTGTTATAATTTAACTTTTTATATATATCATTGTCGTTAATTTAATTTAATTTTCGAGTCATTAGACAATTCTGATTCGTCGACTCTTTTACGATGTTGGTCATTTATTTTCGAATAAAATATTAGGTATAATAATGTAATTTTTTACACAGTGTTAAACGTCTTGGTAAATGTTTGTGTATAAATAAATACTATGTCAGTTTATGACTTAATAATATTGTACCTTCAAAAAAATTACCTTTTTTTTAACAAAGAAAAATTAAGAGAAAAGTTAATTTTATTTTCTATCTTAATTTTAAGCTTAACTAGTTAAATTTTTTTCTTTGTTAACTTTTAACAATTTAATTGAATTAACTTAACTTGACAAAGTTAATTATTTTCATTAACTTGCCCACCATTGAACTATAGTAACTACTAACTACCGATCAACTTATGATAAGTTTATCATTATTTGTTTATTTCACAAAATATAGTACCTGATTCTCCAATGAATTTAAAAACGACCGAAATTGGTAGCACTACAACAGCTCTCCAGTGGGATGTTCCGTGGATATTCAACGGTGCATTGAAAATGTTCATTATTAACGTCGAAGAAATTTCATCAAATGACATGGACAAGTGTTGTGTTAGCATTACTCCAATAGAAATCCCGGTTAATGAAGAACTACCTACGTATAACTATACGGTAATGTATTTTTACACCAAGATTATATATTTTACAGTTGTAAAATAAATTGTAGTTATTTAACTTGGAATTTGCACATTGATACGAGTTAAAAATAATATTAATCTGTTATTGTCTTATCATAATATTTTTCCTTAAACAAATTAATTCGTTTTTCACAATTTATTCATTCAGTATTTATTCATACTACTATTGTTGTTTTCGTTATAATAGTGAATTATTCATATAGAATGTCATCATATTATATAATATATACTAGTTTGTGGTGTAACTCTCTGAGAGTGAGTACCGACTTCGGAGCCAATGTCTTTAAAATTATAAAAGTAACGTCTGTGACTACGTTGATGGGCGTTTAAAACTCGAAAGTTTGAGGAAGTAATAAGGATTGTAATTTGGTGATAAGGATTGACTCGGCTTGTCAATGAGATAGAATAATTTAATGTTATAAACCGATTCATTACCCATTTCATGTTTCTAAAGATAAAAACGAATTTTAAAATTATTTAAGTAGGTACGTACATAATATAATTATGCGTAATAGATAGGTCATATTAAATAATTTAATAACTTGTTTTAATTGTATTAAAATAAATAATATTTAATAGTATAATCTAAAATCTCAATACTTAATCATAATAATTATTATTATTTATCCATCTTGTATTCTAAAAATCCGAAAAACAAACAAGTTTATTAAAACTCCTTGTACGATATGTATAGGCAATAAATTATGCGGTATTTTGGTTACATAGTTTATCATAATTATTGATACCTATATAAGAGGTAAACACGGTTTATGATAACTTATAAGGATTTGTGATGAGCCTCAAGGCTTTACCGGTCCCATTTTGCTGGCGGGTGAGTTTACGAGTCCAGTTTTAGTGTCCAGGAATCTCGAATGGCCAGTGGAAATCGGTAATTCACCATGCTTTTATGTAGGTAAATGTGTTAAGTTTAAAATCGTGTTCGAATGTCCAGAAAGCCAGTCTCCTTAAGCAAAAAACGATTAACGTTCAACTGAGTCACCAAGGTAGAACATATAAAGCACAGGTAGGAAATTCAGACGACAAAAAGTGAATATAGTATTTTGCAAAAAGTCATTAAAGTATATGAAACATGATACTATACAACGTAATGTCTCACTTGCTCGGATACAATCCAGTATTGTGTGTTTTTACTTTTTTAGGAATGTCGAAAAACGTAAGTCTGAAAGTTGTGTTCGAGTGTCTGGCAAGTCAGTCGTCAGCGGTGTAAGACGATACTAGACAAAAGTAAATCCTATATAATTGGTAAACACGATTTATGATAACTTATAATAATTTTTGATGAGCCTCAAGGCTTTACTGGCACCGTTTTGCTAGCTGGTGAGTCTGCGAGTCGAGTATTAGTGTCTAGGAATCTCGAATGGCCAGTGGAAATCGGTAATTGAACGGGCTTGATACGTCCTCAATGTGTATTCACTGTCTTTTTTGTAAGTAAAAAGTGTAAAGTTGAAAAACCATGTTTGAGTGTCCGCGGTGACGATACCAGAAAGAGTAATCCACCTGTGGTATATTAATTATATAGTTTAAGACTGAAAACCGTGTTTGAGTGTCACTTCCCGTATCTTGTGCGTTCACTGAGATTGAATTCTGATGGTTGATGTAGAATCATCGGTCATTGTACCCTAAAGCAGTCCAAAATTCGAGTGCATTGTCATGTCACCGTCGATGATAGACACGGCGATGTCAGATTTTCTGTTACCTTTAAATCCGTCGAAATAGGCTGTTTTCGCTACTTCGCAGTCGCACGATTGTCGTCGACGGCCACCATCATGCTGACGTACGCCGTATATGTATATAGTTTTGGTAGGTGGTGATTAACGCTAATACTGCTTTAAAAATAATAGATATTTTGTACAACTTTGTGCTTTGTAGTTGTTATTGCCTAAATAAACACCTGAGTAAGTTCACTATACTTCTTTGTAGTTTTTATTGCCTTAATTAACACCTGAGCAAATTATTTATTTATTTTACAGGTTACTGGCCTGCAACCCGGATCAACATATTCAATTGGAGTTTTATCTGTATCCAAATCATTATGGTACAGTTCACCGTCTAGACTATCTGTCACACTTCCGACTATTTAAGAAATAATTTTAGTTTATCTGACATACCTACTAATGAATTTACAATGTATTTTTGACATTTATACAAGACTAATAATGTAGTACTTACATAACATTGTTTATCAAAGAAATAAACTAACAATTTACCAATTGGTATAATTGTATAAATTGGTATGTAATAAAGTATTAAAGTTCATTCGCTTGCCTTGTTGAAAGTCTGATCAAGAAGGATAATGAAAATTCAAGTCTCGAATCAATTAATTATATACCTATGTACTAATTTATTGTTTTAGATTCTGAGTGAAACGATTTTTTTTTTTTTGTGTGTCTGTCATCACCTTTTAGGACAGTAAAAATGCTTTGATTTTCTTCAAAAGTATCTTTTATCATGGGAAAGTGAATCTAGTTGTACTTTGGGGGTTAAAAGTAAAATTTTTCCAGTAGTTTTCAAAAGCCCTGCGAAAAACAAAAGAAAATTTAAATAAAAACGAGAATTTTACGCAAAATCTGTTTTTGAGAAAATCAATTTTGGTTTTTGGTGCAACTCTTAAACAAATGACCTTAGGTACATGAAATTTTGAATGAATGTTTATATTAGCATTTTCTATACACCATTAGAGTTTCCGAATATTTTGACTTATTTTGAGCTGTTTAAGGACATTTGCAGTTTCCATTTTTTTTAGTTTTTTTTCCTATAAATATCAATACAATTTTATTTGTTTGTTAAAAAAGCTTGACAATTTAATAGAAGGCTCCTAGTATATGTTGTCAACCGAAGATGAAAAAAATTCAAAATCCATAGTCATAATTTTTTTTTTATAACCATTTAAAGTTCAAATATTGATAAAATACGTAAAAGTGACGGAAATTTGCAAATTATTTTGAGTTAGAAATTCATAAAAATTGTTTTTTTAAATCTAAAATTTGAAAATGTTATACAAGATTATTTATAGGTTTTTCTATCTTTATCAAAAAAAAATGTCTACAAGCAAATCAAATTAAATTTTTATAAGCGTTTGAATTTCATATTTTTAGGATATTAAATATTCACTATTCACTCGATTTCTCATAAAGCGATTTTGTTATCTTGTTGTTATTCATTTTTGAATAACTGTTAATACATGAAAATTATACTAAATATTTATATTTTCTATACCCCATAAAATTTCGACTCTTTTTGAGCTGTATACGGACATTGTTAGTTTTTTTTTGTATAAATATCAATAAAAATGTATTTGTTGGGTAAAAAACGTGAAAATGTAATGAAAGGCTCCTGATATATTGTTACAATAGCAGTTGAAAAACATTGAAAATACATGGGCAGAATTTTTTTTATAAGCATTTAAAGTACGTATTTTAACAAAATGTATCAAATTTAAAATTTAATAATTATTTTTAGTTAAAAATTTATAAAATGTTCAACTTTTATAACTAGGGTTAAAAATTTAAAACAAGGTTCAACGTAAATAGGTTATATATTAATTACTTTATTCTCAATAATATCATCAAATATACTTATTAATATCATAGGCTTACTAATTGTCTTCGCTCAGAATCGTTTTTCTTATACAATGATATTATTACATCATTGAATTTGAATTTTATACCATCCATTACAGTGACCCATTTGTAACCTACTGTACAGTAGAGCGACATTCACTTTCCCACATTTTTATTTTATGAATATAATTATTATTTTCTAAGTACCTTCCTACCGTTGACAGGGTTGACTTACAACGATAGGGTGAGATGAACAACTTTGGTTTTGTTTTTAAAACATATCAATATAATATGATACTTGTGTACTTATTCAATTTTTTTTGAAATGTCATCATACACCTATAGGAAATACTGCTATAATAACCTACATTTAAGTGTCTAACAAGATATAATATTATGAGTATAATAGCGATGATATGATTGGTATTATGATTATAGCATCTAAATATGTATTTTATGAATTTAAGTACGTAATTTTGATGTGGTAATTTCGACGCGCGTATAATGAACTCGGTTATTTGAACCAAAAAACAAAAATAAAAACAATAATTTGGAGCATGCGTCATTTTGCATGTGAATTTTAATGACACCACTTTAAGGTGTAAGTCAATTTTGAAGCAAAACAAAAATAATTACAAATTGAAAATAAATTAGGTATAAAACGTGGAATTTATTAAATAAAGAGAGAGAGATTTTAATGTTCACATATAATTTGTTACTATTTATTTTGTTTTTAAATTAGGCAGCTGTATTTATGTGTATAAAATAAGACTTCATCAATACCATTTATGAATTACAAGAAGTTAATTATTATTTTATTAAATTTTGTATATTAAGAGACTTTGAAATAAAATGAAGAATTGTTCACATTTATTTTATATTTTTATACCTATTGGTATATGTATATATTATTATTAAATATGTTTATAGTTAACTGTTAATAATGATTTCTCATTTATTTTAGATAATAATATTTCAAAATGTAGACTGTAACAATGTACCTACACTTTAACTATAAGTTATAACAATTTACCCCAGCCTGGGGCAGGTTGTTTAATTCTTACTTAGTGACTTGATAAGGTTCTTTTAGATTTTGAGTGCTAGTGGTTTTACAATGGGGTTTTTTATTTTTATCCTTTATACAAAATTTCTACCAGAGGAGTGCTTCGATTTAAACATATCTTATCAGTATCTTATCTATTAGAAAATTATATCAAGATGGTACTTTAGACAGGTCGATTTTCTCAATAGTTATTAATTAGTGCCATGGGAAAATTACCGACAAATTACGATTAACCTATAAATTGAACGGTATAAGAGAAAGAAGTATTTTCTATTGATTTTAAATTCTTTGGAAATTTGATTTAAAATTTGGCAATAAACAGGATTTTTCGAGAATACCAAAGTCAGTTTTTATTGCTCTATATACTGCGAATATGTGATGCAGAATTATTGTTGTGGTTATTGAATTGACCGTCTTTTCCCAGTACTTTTTTTAAAATTATTAAATGGTGATTTAATAAAAACTCCTCCTGAGCTTGTCAATAGACAATAGTACTTAATCATTTACAGCATGTTTTTCACATAGTTTGCAAAAGAACATCAAAATAAAGCCATGGAAAATCATTTCCCCATTTTTTATTATAAAATCTTTTTTTGTAGAGGGATAGGCGTAGGAAATTTATCTAAATCCGTGTCAATCGTTTCATGATAAGAATCTCGGGGCTCTGAAGTTTTAGTTATTTTATTTTGTGAAAAAAATCTGATATTTTTCTTTTTGAAATTTTTGTTACGGTACAACATACAGGTACAAACAACTAGGCCACACTGATTATGTTGCCGTCGCAACATAATAATAATAATATTTTAAGTATCAGTGGTCACGGAGGAACAGCTGGACACACACACATCATCATCGTCATTTCTACATTGTTTTATTTTTGTATTGAATGTGTCTTGTGAGTTATATAATATGTAGATTAAACGTTATCGCACGCCGCCGCGCCGTCTATGCGAATTTTTATTTAGCATGGCGGGCGTGAATCTGTCCTGATTCGTTCGTCGTTCCACAAACACCGAAGTGTAAAATAATATTATAGTTGTTGTTTTTTTTGCTAATATCTAGTCATAGGCGCAATTCGCCACCCTTTTATATTTAATAAATTATATCATGTTATTATTGTGAGCCATAAGGGCATTATCATTATTATATTGATCCATTTTTCAATATTCATTGTATTTTTACGTGTGTGAATCTTCACTTATTATTATTATATTTGTTATACGCCGAGTACCACGGCATATTGTATTTTTATTTAGGACAGGACCATCTAGCTAGACTGCGCTCCACAAACGGTGAGATTTTATTATCAAATTATTATTTTACAATATTACACATTTAGTTGTTACGCCAAAATGGCCTTAGATATTTTATAATTTTATTATCGTGCCAGAAGGGCAGCATATCATTTTAGATTCTGAGTGGAACGATGAATGTATTGATTTTACAATGATGTGTGTTTTTTTATTTTTTTATTTTTTAATTTTTTAATTTTTTTTGTGTCTGTGTACACGATAAGTAGTCGAAATAATGCTTCGATTTTCGACTTCAGTATCTTGTTCGATTGGAAAGTGAATATCGTTGGTGCATTGGGGAGGTCAAAATTGAAATTTCCCAGTAGTTTTCAAAAGCGCCGGGAAAAACAAAAGAAAAATTAAGGAAAAACGGGAATTTTTACGCAAAATCTGTTTTCGAGAAAATCGATTTTGGTTTTTGGTGTAACTTTAAAACAAATGACCGTAGATACATGAAATTTTCAGTATTTGTTTATATTTGCACTTTCTATACACGATGACATTTTCAAAATATTTGGATTTATTTTGAACTGTTTAGGGACATTTTCAGTTTCCAATTTTATTAGTTTTTTTTTTATGAATATCAATAAAAATTTATTTGTTGAGTAAAAATACTTGAAAATTTAATACAAGGCTCCTACTATATTGTTTCAAGACAGATGAAAAATATTAAAAATCGTTAGTCACAGTTTTTTTTTTTAAGCATTTAAAGTTCAAAAAATGACAAAATATGGAAAAATCACGAAAATTTGCAAATTATTTCGAGTTAGAAATTCATAAAAATTTTTCTTTTTAAATCTAAGATATGAAAATGCAATACAAGATTCCTTATAAGATTTTCTACATTTAACAAAAAAAAAATTCTATAAGAAAGTCAAATTAAATTTTTATGAGCGTTTGAAATTCAAATTGTTACAACATTGGATATTTACTCGATTTCTCATGTGGCGATTTCCTTTTTTTGTTCTAATTCAAAAACGAACTACTGTAGATACATGAAAATTGCACTGAATATAATATTAGCATTTACTATACACCATACAATTTTGAAAATATTTTAACTCTTTTTGAGCCGTTTACGGACATTTTCAGTTTTCAATTTTTTTAGTTTTTTTTTTTCTATAAATATCAATAAAGTTTTATCTGTTGGACCAAAAAGTGTAAAA